ACCTGGATGAATAAAAGACCTTGACTTATGTGCCTCCTCCATCAGAATCTTCCGCGTACCCCCGAAATACGGAACCCAAACTCTCCGATGAAGGGTTAATAACCCCTGCTATCATAATCAAAAGAGGACACATGGCTTACAAGATGCTCACTCTTTTGGTACTCCTCTTTCGTAGCCTCAATCCGAGCCTCGCGAATCTGCTCCAAGAGTGGGGTAATCACCGTCATCCTTAAACATACATCTCATATCGGAGTACCATCCGCCTTACGGCTAAGAGCATTGCCACAACATTGGCCTTCCTATTATGATAAACATCAAATAACTCAAACTTTTGTGGTTCGTGTAGATGATACAACAAAACCCATCCAAGTAATGACACCAAATCTTGAGGGCAAACACCACCACTCCTAACTCCAAATCATGAGTGGGATAATTCGCCTTATGAGGCTTTAGCTACCACGAAGCATAAGATATCACATAAACCCTATGCATCAAAATTGCACCCAAACCGGAAATTTATGCATCATAGTATACCACGAAGTCATCCACCCCCTCTAATAGGGTCAAGATCGGAACCTCACATAACTTCTGCCACAAAGTCTCGAACGCCGCCTGCTGCTTAGTCCCTAAACAGAAAGTAGCAGACTTCTTCGTCAATCTGGTTAACGAAACTGCGATCCTTGAGAAATTCTCGATAAACCTCCGATAATACCCAACTAAAACAAGTAAGCTCCGAATCTCGGATGGAGACCTCGGAACCTCCCACCGCATCACGGCCTCGATCTTGGCCGGATCAACCAATATACCCTTATGTTTGACAAGGTGCCCCAGAAACCGCACCTCGCGCAACCAGAACTTGCACTTAGAGAATTTGGCATATAGCCTCTCCATCCTCAAAGTCTCCAGAACCTCTCACAGATGATCCTCATGCTGCTCCTTGGTCTTAGAATAGACCAAGATATCATCAATAAACACAATGACTGACCGATCCAATATCGGTCAGCAAACCCGGTTCATGAGATCGTGAACGTTGATGGTGTGTTAGATAGCCCAAAAGGCATCACCATGAACTTGTAATGACCACAAAGGGTCCTGATGGCCGTCTTCTGAACATCCTCATATCAAACTCTCATTTGAATAAAGATTAAACGCAAATCAATCTTGGAGAACCAACAAATCATCAATCCTCGGAAGCAGATAACGGTTCTTCATCATCAACTTATTCGACTCCCGATAATCAATGCACATCCTATGGGAGCCATTCTTCTTCTTCTTCACAAACAGCATCGGTTCTCCCTAGGGTGAACTACTCGGTCTGATGAATCCTTTGTCTAACAACTCCTACGTCTTCGGCGGTGCTAACCTATAGGGTGTATTGGATATCGGAGCCACACCTAGAACCAGATCAATACGGAATTCCACCTGCCTCTCCGGAGGCACTCTATGCAAATCCTCCAGGAACACGTCTGCATACTCTCGAATAACCGGAACATCATCAATCGTCCTCTTTTTCTCCTCCATGGTACCCAATACATAAGCCACAGAACCAGAACAATCATGTTGTAGAGATTCGGTCCAAGCTGAGCACCTTCTCGATGAATAACTAGTTCTCCCCCACTTGGGGTTCGAACCCGAACTAAGTGGTGCCCACAATCAATCATTTCCCCATTAGGTCTCAACCAATCCATCCCCACAATCACCTTTCTCTCGCGCAAAGAAATAGGAACCAAATCAAATGGATACCACTTGCCAAATAACTCCAAGACACAACCTCGATGAAACCTCGATACTCGAACTGGATGATCATCAGCAATCTCTACCTCTAATGGATAATCGAGCTCCCCTGGAGTGTCACTGAATCTCTTGCTAAGAGCAAGAGATACAAACGATCAGGTGGTGCTCGAATCAAACATAACAAAGCTGGAACATTGTTCACTGGGAACATCGATAGCCTCGTCTCCCAAGGCATAATCTACCTCCACCACCAATCACATGCTCTATATTTCAAAAGACAGGGTGCAAATCTGACCTTCGATCCTTCGGGGCAGAAGATAGTCCGGAAGGCATTCCTGATGTCTGCCAACCATCGTCTGTTAGAAGTGCGGTCCTTAAATCTGAAGAACACAGGAGACCCACATGCATGAAACTCTCAGAAAGTCAGAGAGCGTGCAATCACCATAGCCACCACATCAGTGCGAAATGCACCCAGACGCTCATCCAAAATCTCCATGATACCCTCCTTGATCGTACCAAAGATCACAGGAGTCTACTACATAATGTTGCAGGTACATCTCAGACGAAATGAGCGCTTGCATCTGATCATCTAAGGGTTCGGCTCCAGAGCCCGAACTCGATCCCTCACCAAGACCTAAACCAACTCAAGTGACCACCATACTGAAAAATAACAATACAAACCATCAAAAAACACTCGAAGAATCTCACACCGAGCGGGTCCCTTAGTATCCTCGTGAATCCCTTGACTGGAGTACGGATCCTGTGATTCCAGTAGTACGGGCCCAATACTACCTTCCACACCTATCCGTACTTTCCTTAAGAGTTATCTCGATTCCCCTAAGCGACTCCCTAAACAACGCATATGATAATTCTAACATGCTTCCTAGGTTCTCCTAGGATTCTCTTCCGCCACTCTCCGCCATCAGCTGCAGTAGAAACCCCCACTAATACCTTCTAACTGCCTTACCAAAATAATTACATTCAACAGACACTAGATAATTCTTTGACTACAAGGTCTCACACTACAACGGTTGGACTCAAATAAGAGCTGTGCAGTAGAGTTAAACCTAACCTTCTAAAATTATATTATTTATGCAACATGTAACCTAGCATATTCGCTTGATAGTTAACTAGTATTAGCAGCGGTTCCTAAAAGCACAAAACAAGCAGCATTCGAGCATCAAGTTCTAACCAGAGCACTGACTAACAGACCATCCTAACATGTCATATGTAATCTAAACTAGCATACAGTCCTAGAGGCTCATATAGTAAGCATACAAGGCATCTCTCCTGTCATACAATCCTTAGCAAATCCTTAACCCTAATCTAGCATGCTATTCACATATTCTCATACTGAATCAAACAAGCATGTATGGGTATTTTGGGAACACTTACTTGAGCTCAGACGATTTCATGCATCACACCCCTTCTTTCTAGTAGAAATCCTTTTAGAAATCATTTATTTTATGAAAATTTTACCAAATCTTCAATTTTAGTTCAGACGTACCCGAGAGTGTGTCCGAATCCCTCAAACCAAAGCTTTGATACCAACTTGTAAGAACCCAAAACTCATAAGTATGTCAATGTGTAAATACTTATCAGCGTATAATCCCAAAATCATAAAATACTGGACACAGGTGGATACGCTGCGATCAAGTCGGGCCCTTCCCTTTCAAACCGTAAGTACCTAAAAAATAAAGTTAAACCGTAATCTCAAGGCTTAGCGAGTTCCCCAAAATACCACATACCATAGAAGCGACAGGCCCCACCGAGTGAGTATAACAGGCCTCACCCTAACTCGCACAACGGGTCCACCCAATGAGTATTACTGGCCTCTCCCTAACTCGCATAACGGGCCTCGAACATACAAAACATGCAAGTATCACACATACAACTAGCATCAACCAACATAATCCAGTGGGCTGACATTGATGCCTTCGACCCACGTGTACAGTGAAGAGACTCACCTAACAAAGATCAACTGCTACCTCTCCTACTTCTAAGAGTATAGATTCTATACACCACCTATACATCCATACAAAGTACACTCTTAGCTTACCCTCCAAAACTAGGGTTTTGAACAAAATTCAATGCAAGCCAAAGTCTACATACAAAGTCAAAGTCAACCTCAGTCGACCTCCACATCTTAGCCATCCTTCGGCCATATCGTGGCTAACGGGTTCAACCCGATCAGTAACCGGTCTCCAATAAACCCAAATACATACCAAAATACATAGCCACACTGTTTCCCCAAAGCACCACGTCGTGGCAGAGACAGCCTCAAAACAGTCGCGGAAAACCGCATCGCCACGGCGTGGCACCCTACTGTCACGTCGTGGGAAAACGTCTAAAGGCATAATTCTTTCCTAGGCCCTTAATGTGTATAGCCTTCTGACCAAAATTTCCAGAAAGCATCTAGGGTCCTATTGATCCCTAAAAATGTAAAATTTTTGGACATGCATTCCCCATGCATGTCCTCCATCAAATCTTGGTTAAAAGAGTAGAAAAGGGACCTAAACAAATGCAAGGATCCCAAACCACAATCATTTCTCAGATCTACAAAGTATAGTGTCCTTGGGACTCTTATGAGTCATAATGTTGCAAACTTTATCACTCTGCTTCACTCAAAATCCATCAAAGAGTTCAATCATGCAAGATAACTCTAGATCCATGGAGAAAATATGAAAAGCTAGATTAAAGATCCTTAAAAATGATCTAGCAAGATGATTCCAGAGATTGGAAAGTGCTGTTTGCTTGCTTCTTGCACTCAATCTTTTGCTACTTCTTTAAAAATATCCAACAAGGCTTGAAAATGAGCTCAAAAGCTTCAAGGTGGGTTAGGGTTAGGTTTCTGGGGCTAAAGAGTGATGGAGGCTAAAGATGGGCAACTCTAACCTCCCCACTTTCCTTTAAATACCCAAAAATTTAGGGTGTTCACGTCAGAGGGTCGCCATGTGGCCAATCGATGCCACGTCGTGGGAATCATTAAAAGATCCACAAAACTTCTAGCATCGCCACGTCGTGGGATGCCTTCACCACGATGTGGTCACTCCTAAAATCCGAAATACATTAAAATTAAATACCTCCAAGAATCCATATGTTACATGAAATGTTAACTTAGACGACATATGGACTAAAAACATTAAGAAACAGAGAAATAGGGAAGAAAATTTTGAAATAAGAAACCTTTTTAGTGTCTGTGCAATGTCAATCTTTTATATATTTCAGAAAATGATGCCTTTGTAATTGTAATCCGTATATAATTGTCAACATTTGTTCTTCCCCATTTCATTGTTATTAATATCCATTCTCGATACGCCATCAGTGTTAACAACCTTTTTAAAATTTTATAATAATGACCATTTTACTTCCCTTTGTAATTGTATAATATTAACAATAAAGAAGTTGAAAAAAAATACCTTGTAAATCTTGTGATAGAAAACCTCGAGCAATCGAAGCTCTGCATATTTATGATAAAACCCAACCTTTGTCTTGAGGTAATTTATTAGATCCCCAACTGCACTTTGTTTTGGCAATCTAATAGTATGTATAACTACCTACCAATTAGTTAAACCAAACATATATCAGTAAAAGAAGAAAAAAATTAAATGTAAGTTAAATAAGCACTTACTTCTTCTTTGGTAGCATAATGAAAATCAACTTTAAGGGTTTTAAGGCCTTGAAGTTCTGGGAGAGGTATATATATCTAATACTTTATAATAAAAAATATATGAATTGTACATGAAAAACAACAAAAACTAAAAAACTAAATCCTACATATGTATTTATTATTATACTTTGATGTGAAAATAATGTATAACCTGATTGTATTGTGCCAAGATATCTGATAGGCATGTGTGAATAAATTTTTCAGGCCTCAAATATCCAAAAAAGAGACTCTTTATATGTAAAAAGGAACCAATTCTTGTTAATTAATATTTATAGTTTGTGTACTTCTCCATGTCTGTTACAACTTCAGTAACCTGGTTTATCGTCTGATTGGCTTTCAGAACAGGGGATTCGATGATCAAGTAAAAAAAATCATGTGTATAATAGGACTAATTAAATAAGAAAGTCGTTGTTGATTTGTTGCCCATAACTCCACAATTTCATAGAGAGTACAAGCAAGTTATAGTCAGATATCAAATAGGCTGGCAACCAAAGATGGAGATCATTCCTTTACAGGAATACTAAACCCTACAGATACGTAAAGAAAATCAATTACATATATAACGTAAAACTCTAAAGAAATTAGGTTCGGGTTTGTACCTCCCCATTGAGCCACATGCGATTTTCAATGAAGCTAGGGCTCACGGAGATGGTGGTGGTTGCACAGAGGCGATTCAGATCGAGAGTAACACTAATACTATCATTTATTTGAAAAATCAACTTCCTGTCTTTCTTTCCCCATTATCACATCTATGTTCATCAATGTTCTCACAATCACCATCAACACCCACTTCCCTGTCGATCTCATCCCACCATCACAACGAGAATCATCGAAAGCGAGAATGGCTGAAACTCCAAAATACTATAAACACATGGGTGATTTAATGCTAGACGGTGGCCTTCCAATTGGTTGATGAATACTGTGGGAAAAAAGGGAAGTCAACAGTCAAAAGGACTAAATGTAACAAATGAGAAAAGGTTGGTGGCTAATGTCTAAAGTGAAAGAAGTCTATTGTTCAGAACCAAGGGTATTAATATAGTATAGACTAAACTGCAAATTTGGTCCCTATGGTATCTAAAAAAATGTGGATGGAGTCCAAAATGTTTTCAACTTGCACCACAGGTCCAAAATCGATTCTTTTTTGTGGTTTTGGTCCCTGAAAAAGTTGAAAAGACTGTTTTACCCCTTTAGTTTCTTTTTCTATTTTTCTTAATACTTAAATAGTTTAATAATAAAGAAAAGACTCAACCAACCCTATCCCTTCCCTTCTTTTCTCTCTCTCTCTCTCTCTCTCTCTCTTAAAACACGTATCAAGAAACAAATATGCAATCTTTTTCTCTCAACTTTGCATCTCTCTCCTAACTCCTCGTTTTAGCGATCCCACCACCGCTGCTTGCCCGAAGTCTGTGTCACGATCCCCCAACGTTATGGCATTACAACGAGCAATAATTTCTCTATAATTGCGATGTTTTTCTCTGATACTAGATTCAACCCGGTGGAATTCTCTTGTCGTCCTCCTTCAACCCCCATCCGTTATCCTTTATTGAAAGAGGAAGTAATCGGTTGTTAACTTGTTCATCTAATCTTTACGGTAAGCACATATGACTAACGAGAACATTGCAAAATTCTAGGGTTTATTTTGGGGCTAAGATTACTTTATGTGTTGATGCAATTGGAGTTTCTTTATTCCTACTATGGTTCACTCTTTATCTGCAACAACAACGACAGAATCTTCTATTTTCTTCTACTTTTGTGGTTCAAGTTAGGTATGATTTTAATTTCGAGTGGGGCAGTCGTTGGTTGAAATTTACTCTGTTATTTGGTAGCAAACATGTAAAATTCATTCTTGGATTAAGTATTCTCGATGTTAACAAAGCATATGGTTCCGATGACATCAATTGGGATTGGGCTTTGGAGAATCATAACAAGTTCTAAAGTAAATCCTCAAATTAATTTATCTGTTGTAAATTTTCTCTATCTGTTTTTATTTTTATTTTTTAGAGAGTATGTGTGAGGCATGTGTGTATATGTGTTTGAGTTGTAGATATCAATTGGTAATTATGTGCCTTTTCTAATTTCCAGTATGTATGTGGTGTGAAGTGTCTGTGGTTTGAGTTGTAGGAAGAATATAGGATGAAAAAGGTGATCAGATAGAGTGGGAAGGAGGGGAGGCGTATCCGACTCTTCGATTTTTCTTGTAACTACTTTGGATCGTGTTTCACTTTGGTGGATTTGAAACCATCGGAGCTTCACCACATATGTATGTCTGTATGAGATGTTTGATTTGCAGGTGAAAGGTGATGAAGAAGATCACTGGAGAGGGAGTCAAAGTAAGAGAGAGGGAGTCAAAGAGAGAAAAAGAGGGTCAAAGAGAGAGGGAGAGAAAATGGGGCAGTTGGGGTAAGGTGGGCGGGGTCTTTTCTTTATTTTTTTTATTATTCAAATATTAAGAAAAAATAGAAAAAGAAATTAAAAGGGCAAAATAGTCTTTTCAACTTTTTCAGGTACCAAAATTACAAAAAAAAATTCGATTTTGGACCAGTGGTGCAAGTTGAAAACATTTTGGACTCCATCCACATTTTTTTGCATACCACAGGGACCAAATTTGCAGTTTAGTCTATAGTATATAAATAAGATGTACGTGCGGGGGATGGTATGTAAATAAATATAGGTGAGATTTTGAAAGAATAGTTTAACACTTAGTTTCTCTAAGCTAGGTTTCAAAGCATCCATGATAATAATTTTTTTAATAGTATTTATTAGTGCCTATATAAAATTAAATGCTAGAGCCTAGAATAACTGAATAAATATTAATAACCAAATGTCGTATATTCTGTGAGTATTAGTATATCATTTCTCTTCAATATTGATGGCTCAAATTTTATTTGATATATATACATACATATATATATATATATATATATATATATATATATATATATATATATATATATATATATATATATATATATATATATATATATATATATATATATACAGAGAGAGAGGGGGAGAGAGAGAAAGGATCAATATAAAACCACTTTAAATTAATAGAACCATAGAACCCACTTTATAAACCTACAATTCTTCTATGAATGGTTTAGATTTAAAATGTACACAATAAAATTGTGCATTGTAATACATGGAATCGTATATGTACAAAAGTATATTCTGAATTAGACATTATTATGTGTAGATTAATTATGGAATTAGACTTATTTATCTCTTGCATTTTCTTAAGGTTGAATTCGCATATATCCTCACTCAAAATGACTCCTCCATACATGTACTTCTAATCACCAATTGCATCTTCTTCAAATTGACGCTCCACTCCTGTTTTGTTGTTGTTATTGCCAATCATGCTCCACCTTCACAATCACCTTCATATCGAATGTATCTTCTCTTTCTTCCTCCCTCAACCATCGATGGTGGTCCAATTTAGCCTCCATATTAAAATTCTTCCTTTAAATTTGGAAAATGACCTTCTCTCTTCTCACCCATCTCCTCGCCGACGTCTGTTAGAAATTCGAGAGTAAAACACTTGGATTCGTTGAAAGTTGTGAAACACTGTCAAATTGAAGTATTTTGATGGTACAAAATTAAACACTCAATTAGATAAAATTAAGTGTTTTTCATAAGAGAGAATGTTGGTGAAATGTTTTTCAAGAAGTACCAAAAAATGAACAAAAACGGGTATATAGTGTTCTGTCTGAAAAGTGTCACTCTACAATTTCAACCCGTCACCAAACCACTAAAACTGTCATAAAAAGCGGATTTTAGGATAAGGGTCAAGATGAGTCAAGTTTTCTAAAAAAAACTAGATTTTTGATGCATTTTTATATAGTACATAACCTAAATGAAAATTTTCAGCTCGACCCTAGCTAAGGTTTCTACCCCCGGACCCCCGTTTGTTTCAGGGGCTTCGCAATAAATAACAATGTACTTTGAAACTTGTAACTATAAACAAGTATGCACTCCGCACCATCCTAACTTGTTCAATATTTATCAAAATCACTTTTGGTCGACAAATTTAATCCTATTACAGTTAAATAATATTGATGATATCAAATCACCAACAAACCTCCCCCATTTAAGTGCAATCTTGATTAAACTTAAATAAAAACATAAAAAGAACAAAATAATGCATAAATGAAATGTCATGACGATTGAATTTCACATTAGTATATTACTCAATCCAAATATTTGAATATCAGGGTGTCACTAAAGATTGAACCATTTCTATTCAAAGTGAATACACGAAGATAATGTACACAACATTTTACGTTCTCATAAATTTTGACTTGACACTATATTTTACTAACTTGTGTCCTATCCTTCAATAAGCATATCAAAGTTAAGTCCCAAAGCTTGTTGAAGCAGTTAAACTTCATGCTTATATAGGTAGTCCTTTCCTTCTTGCACTTGCAAATGCAATTTTTCAGAAGAACTATTAAGAAATAAAATTTCAACCTCCTTAACTTGCAGTACTAAACACATACCTTAGGATGATAATAATAATGTGTTCCAATCTTCAAATATTAAGCTTTCCACATTGAATTCAACATCTAATATGACATTAAATGGGAATTAGGTATCTCAATATAAAAGATTTTCGGTGGACTTTAAACCCATCCCTACAACCGCCTTGTGCACAATATCTCTTGCTAACCCTTTGGTTAGATTATCGGAAAAATTTAACTGAGTTCTTACAAACTCCATAGATATCACACTAGTCATGATGAGATCTTGAATCATGTTATGTCTAACACCAAAATGTGTAGACTTCCTACATTATACTTGAATATAAGCCTTAGCCAAGGTGACAACACTATCACATCTGATAGAAATGGTAGATATCGGTTTGGGCCATAATGAAATTTCATAAATCAAGTCACTTAGCCACTCAGCTTCTTTACCAACAACAAGCAAATCTTCAAACTCGAACTTCATAGCTGAGTTAGTAATACAAGTATGTTTCTTATATGCCCAAGAAATGGCACCTCCTCCATAAAGAAACAACCAACCACTAGTAGAGGAGTGATCCTCTAAGTTGTTAGTCCATATGGCATCAATATAACCTTCCAAAATAAATGGATATCCACTATAAGTTAAACCATAATCCATGATTCCTTTCAAGTACTTGAATACTGTACTTACTGCTTGCTAATGATGTGAACTAGGATTACTAGTATACCTACTACGCCTTCCCACAACATATGATATATCAAACCTAATGCTAATCATGGAATACATTAAACAACCAATAGCCATCTAGTATTCAAGTTGAGACACTGGAGATATTTTATTAGGTAGAAGCTTAAGATTATGATCTATAGAAGTTCTAACAGGAGAACAATTCTCAAAGCTAAATTTTTTCACTATCTTCTCAATGTAATGAGATTGAGAAATTGAAATCCCATTATTTCCTTATTTGATTCTTACACCAAGAATCACCTCATCCTCTCTCAGTTCTTTCATTTCAAAACTAGATGATAAGAATTTCTTGGTTTCATCAACTTCTTCTAAATTAGCACCAAAATTCAACATATCATCCACATATAGACAAATCATAACTCCTTTACTAGAAGTATTAAATTTGATATACATACTGTTAGGGCCAGGATCCTCAAAGCGTTCAGGATCCTCAAACCTCATCAGATATTCAGGATCCTCAACTATCTCAGGATCCCGACTATTACCGTTATTATTATTTATTAACATTAATAACGGTTATATTTCATTCATAACTAACACATATGCAGAAATAGTCAAGAGAAGACTTATTCACAAAAGAGTTTCGTCTCAACTATGCTAAAGACCCGGAGTACCAAGTCAAACAACGTTTATAAAGCTGGTCATACAGGATCCCAGGAATATCGAACATCTTGTTAGCTAGT